ATATGATGATATTAAATAACAGTATTACATCTTGTTCATTTAGATTTGTTGGAAAACTGTACTGTTGCTCAAGCTCTGCCATTTTGTTTTATCATATGCCAAAGACTTCTCCAATAAAAATCATACTGAAGAAAAATAATTCTGCAAGGATAGACTTGATAATATATTTACATATAGATCTGGGATTGTTTATTTGAATATCCTGACTCAAATAAGGAACGCTCTGAAATTTGCTCACAGTTCTTGAACGTGACACATCTTCCAAAGGCTTTTTGTGCCCTTCAGTAGAATGTCTTTCTAGTGATTGCCATTTTTGAAATCAAATAGCATTTTTTAAAAATGACAGCACTAATTACTGAAATACAGCTCAGAAAGCTGGCAAATGTGAGATGCTCGATGACAGAAGCTGGTCAAATAATTGCAGATCTAAAATCTCAACTTGGATGAAAATAATTTTTGTTTATGGTTGGAACAAATATTCCAGGCACATAATTTTAGCAAATTAATCTCTGCTTGCCCCCTCAAGTCCTGCTATGTTGCCTCATTGTGGTAGGGAAGGAGGGGTGTTCCTAGAAGGGATGAGTGAAGAATGCTCGGACCTGATGAAATATATTCTCTCCCCCCCCCTGATTATTTTGCATAAACTGAGTGTTCTATTGGCTCTTGAATAAAATTAGAGAAGTAATACCATGCTACACTTCCTAATTCATCTGTGATTCTGTATTAGATACAAAGTAGGCTAATAATCCTGGAACAGAAGAAAAAAGATGACTGAAAATTAAAACTAGCTAATATGATACTTAAATGTCAACAGTTGGTTAAAATATTAGAAGAGTAATATGTTATTTGGGATGGGAGAAATCACTACTATGGTTGAAAATTTAATAGGGTTTATGGCAGACTTCTTTAGAGTGTAGATAGGATCACAAATCTCAGCTAGGGAATCATCTGTTTTTTTAGTATCCTTCGTAAAGATCAGTTTTTAATCTGTTCAACCCAGGGATCAAGTTAAAGCTGTCTTGTAAGGAAGGAGCTCTGGAGTCACTGATTTGGTCTTAAATAAGAATATAAAAACATGTTTGCACATTATGCGTTTTATGCTTTTACATGTTACTCAAATTGAATTGATAAAACGTTTTGGGAGGAAAAGGCTTTGAGCTTTGCTCCTATGCTGTGGATACAACATCAAAAGAATCCTCTGAAACTAATTTGCACTTTGATGTTTAAAGTTATGCATTCCTGAAAATAGCACAGATGTAAAATGAAAATGTTTTAAGTGGAGGGCAGGAGTGAGAGCAGAAGGCTCTAGACTTCCATGATATTTACTCAACAAATTAGTGCAATTGAAATTTTTATTCTTTTTCTTTTTTTCCTGGCTCCAAAAGAAATTTGGCTATAGTGCTACCATTTGACTGGTGCATCAAGAGATGCTTTTTTGATGTTGGTTCTTGCTTAAATTAGTGATTGAAAAGATCCCACCCCATCTCAATTTGGAATGTACTTGTTCATTCTAAATGTTATTAAAGAAATCTGGGATAGCTTTAGTTTAGTAAGTTACATTATCCTTTTCTCCACCCGTTCCCTAAAACATATCCTTGTGAGGAGAGAGACATTGATGGGATGGAGAATGGGGATTGGCAGCAGTGGTAGAAGTCCTTTATAAGGTATTTAGGGTCCCCTTCCATTGCTATCGTTTTTTTTAAAACAGTGGATGTTCCTTGCTTGTTGAAAACTATCCATTGTTTATTGGAACTGAGGAACATAGGACATGACATTTCCAATATACCTTAAACTGAATGACAAGACCTCTATTGCTTCTACTCTACTGCTGTGTCTTTTATTTTGCAAGGATGGCTTTTGGGGAAGTAGGGTAGAACTGGCATGCTCCTTCATGAATTGTTTCAGATATGGATTATAGAGGCTCAGTATTTTTGGAGGAAAATATTTCCTTCAATTCTGAATTTCAGTTCAGTTACTAATTTAAATGAATCCCTGGAAAGCATGCTTAGTACTCTGCCCACTAGTCACGTCAGAAAAGACCAATGTTTCCTCTGAGATAAGAATCAAATGAAATACGAGAGTCATTTTTCCAGACAGAAAAGCTCCTCACTCTGTCAGACTTTTTTTTTTTTAAGGCAGTTTTGTAAAATGCCAGACTTCAGTAGATTCTAAAATTATTTTTTTCATTATTTTTAAGTGAAGTATTGGACTTCAGCATATATTTGCAATTTTCTATCTTCCTTCCTCTCTCAGTGTCTGGTGTAGTAGTAAGTTTCTTCAAGACAGCTGCACCAGTCTGTTTCTTTCCAAACCAAACCGATTACAACATCACTACTCCAGACACCTTGAGGTCTACACAGCTGCCTAGTGCATCATTTGAATTTGATGCATGGGGAACTGGGGGAGTGATTCCCAAATAAGCTAGTAATACTAGCCCTCTTCAAGTGTTAGATGAAACAGTGATACTCTGCACATATTCAAGAAGACTGGAGAGAAATGTGCTTGTCCTGGTCCCCTTTGCACTGTCTTCTGTGTATAAAAACCAGCTGCAGTAAAGAAACCTCTGTCTGTGGAGGCTCTCCACGAAGTTGAAAACTGGAAAATTGGGATCCTTGTTGATGTGGATAGAAGGGCTATCTACTATCTACGCTATGTGTGGGAATGGGACTAGCATACTTATTTTGCTCCCCCTTAATACAGGTAAGAATACCACTATTTTATCTGGGATTTCTGAATAACAGCAGGTTCCTATGAAACCCATCTATCCTGCATACGTCCGTGATGAGAGAAGGGAAGATTAGTACCTTCATACAATTTGTCCCTCATCAAAATTGTATTCCTGTTCTTCATTACCATCTGTGTGTATTTGTTTTCCCTATTTGAAAACTTGTGATGTTGCTAGATATTTACCTTAATAAAAACTGCAGATGTTGTTGGAAATTAGCACTAGTTTTATGACATTTCTATTCTGAGGAACATCTGAATTTTTCAATTCAAATAGTGCAAACATATGTTGTCTGGAGGAATCCTAACTGATTTCTGTGATTTCATAAGGTTTAACCTTTGTTCTCAGGGTTACTTATCTTTATAAGCTTACTTTGGTTTTACCTTATATACCTGCTATACCTACAGTCAGGTCCAGAAATATTGGGACATCGACACAATTCTAACATCTTTGGCTCTATACACCACCACAATGGATTTGGAATGAAACGATGTACATACCCTCAAATTAAATCTGACAGTCTGCAGTTAAAGCACATTGTGTTTGTTTCATTCCAAATCCATTGTGGTGGGATGTACATACCCTCAAATTAAATCTGACAGTCTGCAGTTAAAGCACATTGTGTTTGTTTCATTCCAAATCCATTGTGGTGGGATGTACATACCCTCAAATTAAATCTGACAGTCTGCAGTTAAAGCACATTGTGTTTGTTTCATTCCAAATCCATTGTGGTGGGATGTACATACCCTCAAATTAAATCTGACAGTCTGCAGTTAAAGCACATTGTGTTTGTTTCATTCCAAATCCATTGTGGTGGGATGTACATACCCTCAAATTAAATCTGACAGTCTGCAGTTAAAGCACATTGTGTTTGTTTCATTCCAAATCCATTGTGGTGGGATGTACATACCCTCAAATTAAATCTGACAGTCTGCAGTTAAAGCACATTGTGTTTGTTTCATTCCAAATCCATTGTGGTGGGATGTACATACCCTCAAATTAAATCTGACAGTCTGCAGTTAAAGCACATTGTGTTTGTTTCATTCCAAATCCATTGTGGTGGGATGTACATACCCTCAAATTAAATCTGACAGTCTGCAGTTAAAGCACATTGTGTTTGTTTCATTCCAAATCCATTGTGGTGGGATGTACATACCCTCAAATTAAATCTGACAGTCTGCAGTTAAAGCACATTGTGTTTGTTTCATTCCAAATCCATTGTGGTGGGATGTACATACCCTCAAATTAAATCTGACAGTCTGCAGTTAAAGCACATTGTGTTTGTTTCATTCCAAATCCATTGTGGTGGCCTCAAATTAAATCTGACAGTCTGCAGTTAAAGCACATTGTGTTTGTTTCATTCCAAATCCATTGTGGTGGTGTATAGAGCCAAAGATGTTAGAATTGTGTCGATGTCCCAATATTTCTGGACCTGACTGTATATGGAAAATGCTTATGGAGGCTTCCAGAGGCATTGCAAACTTGTACTTGATTCCCAAGTAGATATGATTTTCTGGGTATACTGGGTATAAAA